CTACTCATAATAGCCAGCAGGCAGAAAAACAAGAAAGGGTCACAGTATCCACTTCAAGGCCACAACTTTAATAACTTAACTTCTTTCCACTAGGACTCACTCTCTGAAGGTTCCACTATCTGCCAGTAGCACCATGGGCTGGGAACCAACCCTTCTACACATGGACCTTTGGGGGATATTCTAGATGCAAATTGTAACACTATCTGACCCACCAAGTTTACCCCTAGGATTATATGTCAAAGAAAATGAACATGAAAACATAAATGTCTACACAAAAACTATCTGTAGAAACAACCATGTTCATCCACTGATGAATGTATAATTATACACAATGTGATATATCCATACTTGGAATATTATCTATTCATAAAAAGGAAAACTACTGATACATGTCATGGATGAACCTTGAGAACATGCTAAGTGAAAGAAGATAGATCTTAAAAGATCACATATTGTATGATTCCATTTATAGGAAGTGTCGAGGGTATACGAATCTATATAGACAGAAGGTTAGTGGTTACCTAGAGCTAGGAGAATGGGAGGAAGTCTTCATGAAGAATGTTTATATATTGATTAAATTGTAATACCAATCATGTGCTCATTTTCCCCTTTATAAAGACTTACTGTTCTTCACAGTATAAAGAGAATTTCTCCCTTTAAAAGAACTAATGAGTTCCCTATTTTTGTTTATCTTAATATTTGTTAAGATCAGATAATCATGATTACTAGTCTCTTCACATTGGCTGCTAGTCTACATTGTATTAAAAGCTCATTCACAGCAACACTGTTAGGCAACTGGTATATTTTCCTCTACACATCTTGCTGTGGATTTTAAAAGTTTTCACACAGAAATTGACACATACTTATTGATAAGTATTTTATTGTAAGATACCTGCAGTCTTTATTAGAGATAATTGGGAGCTTAAATTAAAAGCAAATAAATACTAAAAGTTTACCTAAAAAAATTTAGACAGTGTTTGTCAAGATGGATAGAGTACTTTCTGTGTAGAATGGAAATATCAGTTCCTAATGTTTATTTTTAGTTATCATAAAAGTGATATTGATGTTTGTATTCATAATAGCTACCATTCTGACTGGAATGAGATGAAATCTTAGAGCAGTTTTGATTTCCATTTCTCTGATTGCTAGTGATGATGAACATTTTTTTTATATATTGATTGATTGTATGTCATCGTCTGAGAAGTGTCAAAAGGTACACTCATACATTGCTGGTGGGACTGCAAATTGGTGCAGCCAATATGGAAAGTAGTATGGAGATTTCTTGGAAAACTGGGAATGGAACCACCATTTGACCCAGCTATCCCTCTCCTCGGTCTATACCCAAAGGACTTATAAACAGCATACTATAGGGACACAGCCACATCCATGTTTATAGCAGCACAATTCACAATAGCTAAACTGTGGAAACAACCTGCATACCCTTCAATCCATGAATGGATAAAAAAAAATGTGGTGTATATACACAATGTAATTTTACTCAGCAATAAATGAGAATAAAATCATGGCATTTACAGGTAAAGGGATAGAGTTGGAGAAGGTAATGCTAAGTGAAGTTACTCAATCCCCCCAAAACAAATGCTGAATGTTTTCTCTGATATAAGGAGTGTGATTCATAGTGGTATAGGGACGGGGAGCATGAGAGGAGTAGACAAACTCTAGATAGGACAGAGGGGTGTGAGGGGAAGGGAGGAGGTGGGGATTAGCAATGATGGTGGAATGTGATGGACATTATTATCCAAAGTACATGTATGAAGACGTGAATTGGTGTGAAGATACCTTGTATACAACCAGAGATATGAAAAGTTGTGCTCTATGTGTGTAATAAGAAAAAAAAATAATTAAAAAATGATATTGATCCTTGAACTGAGCTTTTAGAAGGGTGGTGAACTCCCAGACACTGGAATTACTCAAATAGACACTGGATGATCCTCTATCTATATGTGGGGTAGAGGTGAATCTTGGGCTGGATGAGAGAGCAAACTAAAAATTGCCTATAAAGATCTTCCAGTGTTCAGACACCATTTTGTGATTGACTTGAAGTAAGAGTTTCTGATAAGACAAACTATCAAGTGATCATTTTAAATGGGAAATTTTTATTCTAAGAACTTATCTGAGAGCTCAGAGTTCTAGACTCACAACACAGAAGACATAATTTACTGTGAAATGTGCTAAGAACAGGTAACACCAATGCATTACCTAAAGAAGCTCAGGTTAGCTGTTGTCTTGCATATGTACTTTTAATTGTGCTATACCTCTGCTAGAATGAATTAGATAATTGTATATCCTGAATTCCTAGGGCATATGAAAATGGTGTATTTAAACATTGGAATATATCTTCCTAATACAGCTGTTGTATTTAATTTAATACATTGCTCTTCTTAGTAGTACTCAAATTAGTCCTTTTCACACACACACATACACACACACACACACACACACAATAGAGTATGAGCATAAAGGAGGGGATGGATGGATGGATAGAGATAGATATTTTCCTCTGCCACTGAAGGTCACCCATGTAAATGATAGTACCAGTTGGATTGTGATCAGAAGATCTTGGTCCAAGCCCAGTTTTGCACTATCCAGGGTTAGTGTTTCATAAATCAGTTTCTGCCTATTTTTTTCTTATTCTATCATTAGAATTTACATTTTTGCAGAAAAATTAGAGCCTAGCATCAATTTGAGTTTATGCTTCTTGGTCCACAAATATTATTCATTTCTATTTAATGGTAATTGGCTGCTGAAATCTGCCACATCTGGGCAATAAGAGATGTAGGAAGAAATTTAAGAATTGTGTCACTGGAAACTTAAGAGGGTTAAGAAATTATTTTCTAAAGATTAGGTGCTAAGAATAGGTAAGAGGCTAGAACATTGTGCTCCAGAGATTTATTTAATAAAAGCTATATATGAACAAAGAGCATAATAAGACATGATGGGAAAAAGCATAAAATTTTTGTGATTTTTTTTATTCCACATTTAAGGGTCCAACTTTTTAATTGTTAGGAAATAGTTTTGTAAAGGAAAAAAAGGAAGGAGACAAAAGAGGAAGGGAAGAGTCTGTGTATCAGAGGAAATGGACCAGTTCCCTTTTGGAGCTTGGTTTAAGTGTCATAATGAGCAGATTACTAATACTACTAAGTGTGTTTGGATCTAATATATCTTGCACTGAAATACTGTCTAATAGACTTAATTACTACGGTGAAGGATTTTGTAAGCATTCCTAATTTTGTCTGTCTGAAAAAGATGGAATGTTTTTTCAGGTCCACAGGTCCTGGTCTCTCAGAAAAAAAAAGGCAGGATTATGAGGGGCATCAATCTAAGGGGTGATAAGGCAGCAGAGAACATATGTGGGATATTTTAGGCTTTACAGGCTGACACAACTATTAAAGCTACCTGAAAAACTGGTTGTGAAACATGACATTTGTCACAGATGATCATGTGTTGTAAAGATCTTGTTCCTGAGAAATTTTAGAGCTCTAGTCAAGACTAGATTGCAGAGAAAGTTTGAAACTTATTTGGAATGCATCCTCTGTTTTAAGAAGCCCACTGGGAATAATTTTAATCTTAATCATTACCATCACATTTGTGTTCTTTGGATTTTGGAGCATTAAACAATACAAACACGTTTGATGGAGAAGGAGAAATGTAGTAGGACTCAACTAGTTTTTTTAAACTTCTTTGGAGGACTTCTGAAAGAGATTCTTTTAATTCATTTCCTTTTGTGCTTGCCTTTAGGCAGTTTTATAAAGAACCCTGGACTAATTGGTTATTTTCAAAAATTTAACTGGTGGAAAAGCTTTAGTACTTTTCTCGGGACTGAAATTAGCTTCTTCTTTCCTTTCAGGATAATTATATCACTGGAACATTTAAGTTATTTGAGGTTTTTTAAATTCATGGAGGTCATCATATGAAAAGAGGCTAATCTTGGATTTAAAAAAACAGTTTTTATTACACTTTCAAGGTGTCTTTAGGGCTGGGTTTATGTGCTTTTTACTTATGTACTGTTTATACTTAAAAAGCAGCTCACTTCTTTCAGAAGGTTATTCATTGAGATAGCTGCTTTATTTGTTCCCTGTTTCTCACAGATAAAAATGTAATTGAATAGATGAATAGATTATATAAATATTTAGGAAAAAGCTAAAGATTAAAATCTAAACTATAAATCTTTGTTCCTGGACAATTGAAAAGAAGAATTGGACTTACTTTTCACAGACCGAAGTGGTCACCTGTGTTGAATCAGGTCAGGCATATGGATGAGATCTTGATTCCTCTTTATCTACCAGATCCTTCTACCAAGACAATAGAGGATGATAGAATGGAATATTATTGCTGTGTAAACTCTCTGGGCATGTTTTACTTTCAAAAATTATGTACACATAAAGAGTTTCATTATTTTGTGTTGGGAGGCAATCCTCTATGAGTATTTGCATTTTTATGTATCTTATAAGCAGACATTGACTGTTTTTTGTTCTGGACTATCTTTTTAGGTATGTTTGCATAGTGAACAAACTTGGATGATAAAGTATCTCCTTCTAGAACAAAGAGCAGGTTTGCTTATGGTTCTATATAATATAGATAATATCTCCCTTTAGAATAAGGACAGGTGTGCTTACTGTCCTTTATAAAAGATTCAAGTTTCCTAAGCTCAAGGAGCCTCTCCTGAGGGAACAGGTCTTACTGGGCCATTTTCATAGCTTCATAGGAATTGAGATTCAGGGAACTTGTACAAATATTAATATTGCATTTATTGATGTGAGTGCTAAACATGTTTCCAACCTTCAAGTCTGCCAGGGCCCATGAAACTGGCAGGTAAACTTATTGGCTTGCAAGTATAGTGAAGTTTCAGACCCTTTACAGTTCTGAATTAATAATTTGTTAAATAAAATGTATTGGAAAAGATTTATTGGAACTTACATGTATTGACTTTACAATATTTAAGAAGTTTATTGAGGATATTATTTCTCTTTGCTTTGACATAGGGTTTGTTTATAATGTCAGCTCATATATGGAGTTTCATCCTGGTGGAGAAGATGAACTGATGAGAGCAGCAGGATCAGATGGTACTGATCTTTTTGATCAGGTAAGATACTGAAAGTAATTGAAGTAATACAATGGAAGAGTGCTCATAGATTTAGCACTGTGACATTTTTAGGAAGAAAAAAATAGTTGCGTAAATTTCAGATATGTTGACTTGAATCTTGAAATATAGGCAGATGTTCACAGTAGCAGCTGTCCATTTAATTTGTTTTTGTATTAAAACTTTTGAGGTGGTTTCAAATCCTTGGCTTACTTGCTGCTTCCCCCTTGGCAAGTATTTACCAAGTCTTGATTATTTTTGTAATAATGGTAATTGATTTTCAGAAAGCAGTAAAGATTGGAAAAAGGAACATTGAAACCTGCTTCTAACTTGCTGAGTCTCTCACTTTAAGCAAGTCACTTAGCTTCTCTATTCTTAGTCTTTCCTCATTTAGGGATTGTATATACATTCTGCCTGCTCACTGTACTGAATCTGCATATCACATAGAAAGATAGATGAAGCTGATAAAATGAATAGAAAAGTTATTTTTTTCTGAGTGATAGCAAAGATTGTCTATGGGTATCTCAGAAGATACTTACTTTCTGCCTTATATTTAGGTAAATATTAGCTCTTATACATTAAAAAAGTTACCCAGAATATTTTAATTATTCTCAACTGTTATTCTAGCGATCTTTAGAAGGATAGAAATTTGCCTTTGTTTCACATATGTTTTTGTTTGTATTTTAATGATAATTAGCCATGTTATAGTACTGGGATTTTATCATTCAAGAGACCTGAACTAGATTGGGTTATTTTGTATTGTTTTTTTATCAAATATAATTTGGTTTATGTTCTTCCTATTTTTTAAATTTATGTTAATATTTGTTTTTTGACTAGGTTATGGTAAATATAATTTGTTTAATATTTAAAAGTACTAGTATACATCTACTTAAGTGACAGAATCTCATTTGCTATTAATGTTCTACCTGGGTTGGAGAAAAGTCATGTTTGCATATTGGTTGTAATAGCATTTTCATTGGGAGACTTATTGCTGTTTTAAAGGAAGTTCCCATTGTCATTTGATATTTGTTATTATTCAGCAATGCAAACCAAATAAAAAGGATTAGGAATATTTGCCTTAAAACTTGTCTGTCACATTTTTCTCCTGTATCTGCCTTGATGCTGGATGTACTCTTTCACAATAATAATTTTCAGTGAAATCTAGTCTTACTTCGTGTTACGAGTTTATATGGGCCTTATTTAAGGAAAGCTTTTTTGCAAGAAGTTATAAGAACTACTATATCATTAAGTCTGGCTGCTAAACCAATACTGTAGTTACCAAATTGCTACATTCCCCCTGGCTTTAGTAAGACCAGTGAAATTTATTTATGACTTTTCACTCACCATGAAAGTAAACAACTTTGTATATTAGAAATTGTGATGAAGCTCTTTGGATCTTTCAATATAAAACTTTTCTTGTGCCAAATATTTGAGTCATACAAAGACTATTAAATAATCTCTTTATTTTCATAATTGTCTCCAGTTTTGATCCCACTCCTGACGTCTTGTCTTGCATTTCCAAATGCCTCATGAGCAATTTGATAACCTGTTGATATTTCGACTCAGTGTGCTCTCAAATGCTATAAACTTTTCTTCTTTCCTATTTTCCCCTCTTTTGTCTTTATAACAGGGACTTGAAGGCACTGAATAATCTTTGCCTTCTCTCATTCTGCCCCAGTATTCAGTCACTGTCCAAATCCAATGATGACTTTAAATCTTATACGTTTTTCTCCCTTCCCATTGCCTTGTTTCATCATCACCTTCTTTACCCCTACTATTTTAATACTGCTCAGTATCTTCAGTACCAGTTTAGATAACTTGACAGATAGTTTAGTTTTCTTTTTCTTTTTAAAACTGTTTTAGTTGTCAGTGGACCTTTATTTTATTTATATGTGGTGCTAAGTATTGAACCTAGTACCTCACACATGCTAGCCAAGTGCTCTACCACTGAGCTATAACCCTAGTCCCTAGATTAGTTTTATTAAAGACCATTGTCTTAGCACCTTGCTCTTCAACTTTTCAGTGGGTCACTACTGAAAGTGGAATAAATTTAGTTATTTACCTGGTATTTGACACCCTAAGGGAAATATATCAGGGTAAATAAATATAATAAAATAAATATAACAAAAAATAAAATATATTAGGGTAAATCAGTTTGCTCTGCTTTGAGCAAACTGAAGTGCCTGCTGTTTTTCACCAATTCTATGCCTTTGCCTCCCTGATTATCTTTTTTTAATGTATTTACTTAAGTTCTACCCCAACCATTTCCTTCAAAGATAGTTTTTTATACATTAGTGGGTGCTCCATAAATATTTGACAAATTTAATTTCAATTTATATTAATAAATGAGTGCCCATTATAAGATATTTGTATTTGTAAACTAATTTTCTGTTTTAGTGTTACTTATTTACTCAGGGTGATAAAGATTCTAATATCAACATTTTTGACCTGATTATTTTAATGTTTATATAGTATTTTACTGGGTAATATATTATGATTTTCCTTTACTGATCTTTTTACAATTGAATATTGAGATTGTTCCAGCATTTCATTTATTTAAATAATGCTGTGATTGAGTGTCATGGTATTTGCAGCTTTGTGTAAATGCAAATTTTTTTTCAGGTAAATTCCTAAATATATGAGTGAAAGACCTATTTATTTTAAGGCTTTTAATGCATATTGAGAAGGTGCCAACCAAAAAGATTATTTAAATCTAATTCCCACCAATGTTGTCTGGCAGCAAATATTGTCAGTTGTTTTCCTTGAAGTACCTCTTGCTTTTCTCATTTTCAGAAAAGTGTCTGCTAAATACCCAAATCTGAATAACCAGTTTGCTTATAAGTTCATGTATAAATGATTTTTCATGAGAAAAGCCCTATTCAGTTTGCAGATTGAGCAATTTCTTATGTGTTTTTCCTTAAGATGATCATCATACTTTATAGTAGAAGTATGTTTTGAGACCTTCCTATTTTGCCACACAGAATCTAAAAATATCCACACTAAACTGTCCAGGTTTAATAAAATTAATAATTTTTATATTTTGTATAGGATAGTCTTAAATATCATCCCCCCCAAAGTCTGTGGTGGCAAAGAATATAAAGATTACTAGAACATTTAGGAGCCATTGCCTTGATTAGTGGGATGCCAGCAGTTTTGCCCACTGTTGCTTATAGCATCATTGCTGATGTCAAAACAGTGAAAAAGGTGAGTGACATCTCACTATTCTCATGAAACTAATTTAGACTTTGTGTATACCTAAAGAGGTGTTAAAAACTTCCAGAAGTCTGTAGAGCACACTTTGAGGACACTCTTTTAAATTGTCTTTGTCTATTCTGCTTTCCTATCACTCCTTGTTGGCTAAGTGAAACTGCCCCAGAGCAGTCTCAGAAGGTTGTTTTTTGTTCATAATTAAATAAGAGCATCCTGTGAGTTAGACTTATGTTGCATTTCTGCCATTTATCTCCCATGCCAGGTTCACCGTTGGGTCAATTATGAATCCATGCTGAAAGAATGCCTGGTTGGCAGAATGGCAGTTAAACCTGCCATCCCAAAAGGTAAGTAAGTGGTGCTAGTGTTAAACTGGCATTATTGATGTGTGATATATAAGTAGTATTTTTCCCCTTGGAGTTCAATAAATAGACTTAAATAAATCACTGTATTTTCCTCATTTTCATTATCTTTCTGCTCTACCTACACTAAAGGTTTAATTTTAGTTCTTCTTAAGAATTATGTGGTGACTTTGTTTTAAAATTTTAACACTTTTTTTTGAGAATTCATAGTGTGAGGAGTAAGCATTACAAAAGTAAGAAAACTTTATTTACTCTTTGTTTAGTTTTAATTAGTCTCTTAGCATGTTGTTACATGGGCAGATTGGCAACAATACTTAGTTAGGGTTGATTTTTAGACTTAAATTTTTTGATTGGGATATATTTACATGATTAAAAAATCTGAAAATATGAAAAGTTATACAGTAAGATTTTCCCTCCTTCTTTGTGTCCACTTTACCTGATTGTTCACATTCCTTAGGCCCTTAATATAGAATACCCCATTCTTCTATTAAACTTCTTTCAAAGTATAATCATTTTCTTCCCCTTACCTCTGAGTTGAGGCTCCATAATCTAAGTAGTCATGTCTTACTTCCTGACCTTCTTTCAGAAGAGCACACTTTGAGAATTTTAGACATGGAATTGAAGTATAAGAAATAGCTTGTATAATCCCTTTCTATGAAGGAATGTTAGTCATTTCTTTTGAGTAACTCCTAATCTTGACACTCAAATTAGGAATAAATTGGTACAACTAGAGTCTTCTGCTACTTATTTCAGTGAGTTTATAATTGAAGGATTGATTGCCAGAGGCTTCTCAGTAGAATGAAACTAGCATAAGTATATCTAGATTTGAACCATAGCACCATGATATATTCGTTGTGCAATCTTGAAGCCAATTTCTACTTCTAATTTGTACAATGATTCATAATATTAGTAATTCACGTGAATAAATTCCCTTGCACAATGAGTGGAATAGAAAAGTAGGATTATTTTCCTTCCTATCACTGCAAAACAAATAAGCAATATGTATATATAACAAAGTAAATAAGTTTGAGCTTTGTGTTTGAAAATTCTTCTAAACCCACTTACTTTTGTAAACCAATCCCTTTTGCATCTACATTGGCTCCTATGTTCACTAATTAAGTGCCAGCAGGAGAGACGATCCTAACCAAAATTTCTTAACAACTAACTTTACCAAATCCTCAATGTTATGTACCTTCATAATCTAGTAGTAAAGATCATGTGTTCTTCTATGATGCCATTCAGGGTGATTAGAAAGTATGGTCATGCTCCTTGGATATGACTGTAGTTTGGATCTGGAATATTTCCCAAAGACTCATGCATTAAAGGACTGGTTGCCAATGCAGGTGAAGATTTTTGAAAGGATTAGATCATGAGGGCTCTGATCTCTCCAAAGGATTAGTCTATTGTTGGATTAATTGCTCAGTAAACTATTGGGAGGTTGAGGAAACTGTAGGAAGTAAAACCAGCTGGAGAAAGTGGGTTATTGGGGGTGTGCTCTTGGGGACTATATCTTGTTGCTGGGTGCCCCCCTTTTTTTCATGGTCTCAATTAGGTGAGCATCTCTACTCAGCCATGATCTGCCTCATTAAAGGTCCAAAGTGGTGGTGCCAAGTGTCCATGGACTGAAAACCATGAGCCATGGTCCAAAATAAATATTTTCTTCTTTAAGTTGTTTAATCAGGTACTTTGTCACAGGATAGAAAGCTAACTAACATAGGTGTCTACTCTGTAGAAGAAATTTAATTAGTAAAATAACTTTTCTAATTTTTTTCTCTCTCTCTGGAAATGATAGAAATCTATCTTCAGCATGCTTCATCAAATACAACAAACATAATTTTAAATTACAGGTTACTCTGACTGTTGAAAAAGAGAAAGATTTTTGCAGTATTTACCCAGCAAGGAATCCAGAAACTGTTAAACTCAGATTTGTCTCTTGCATCAATTGGTAGCAGGAGGATTTATAGAAAGAGAGGGAAGCAGCTTCTTGCATATTGGATGTTGAGAAAGAGGAGTTTTAGGTTTGTCTTATGCAAAAAATTTCCTCATAAGGAAATTCCCAGATTGAAAAAAAAAAGTTCAATCAAGAATGATAACCCTCCACTTTCACAAGCCCTTATATAGATACTAGGAACTTAGAGCCACACATTTCCATAGTCACACAGGAATGGAAGACATTTTTGAGTTCATAAAAGGCAGGAAGATCCCTGAGATGTTGGAGTGTCTTTTCTGTCTTAATCTTGTTTACAAGGTGATGGAGAAGAGGAAAGAGAAATTTCTGAGAATTTAATACCAAGCAAGGGCTTGCTCTCTGCACACAGAAGCCATTACTGAAACTCTGGGTGTTGAAAAAGAGAAAGATTTTTGCAGTATTCACCCAGCAAGGAGGCCAGGAACTGTTAAGCTCAGATTTGCCTCTTGCATCTCTTGGTAGCAGTTGAATTTATAGAAAGAGAGGGAAGCAGCTTTTTGTCTGTTGAATGGTGAGAAAGAGGAGTTTTAGATTTGTCTTATGCAGGCATAGATGGTCATCATGCCTCTTCACAGATTGCATATTTCTTTTACTGGGGAAGTTATCATATTTTGCATGGAGGCTTTTGATCTTATAATGTCAAAAGGTCATTGACTGGAGGAACTGTCTTTTTCTGTTGATGTTCTTTCTTTCTTTTTTTGTCACAGTTATGAAAAGCTGACTAATCCAATAGCTTAAGCATTTTGTTATTTATGAAATTTAGGTTCAGGTTTAGCTGATTTCAGTCCTACCCACCTGTGAGTTTAAATGTACTACTTATGAGTTTGGAATAAGCATTTGGGATTCAAATATCACACCCATGTGGCCTCAGAAACTCCAAACCAAGAAGTAAAATGGTCTCTTGTTATTGGTTCATAGGCTTCCTGGCAAATATATGCATAAATTTTTAATGAAGTAACACATTTCATCCTGAATCCCTAAAACCCCATAGATACAGATCAGATAGTTATTAGTGCTCAGTAAAAAATTTGAGAACACATCCTCGCCAACATTTATTGTTGTTTGTCTTTATAATAGCTGCCATTCTGACAGGAATGAGATGAAATCTTAAGAGTAGTTTTGATTTCCATTTCTCTAAAGGTACACTCATACATTGTTGGTGGGACTACAAATTGGTGCAGCCAGTATGGAAAGCAATATGGAGAGTCCTTGGAAAACTGGGAATGGAACTACCATTTGACCCAGCTATCCCTCTCCTCGGTCTATACCCAAAGGACTTAAAAACAGCATACTACAGGGACACAGCCACATCCATGTTTATAGCAACGCAATTCACAATAGCTAAACTGTGGAAACAACCTGCATACCCTTCAGTAGATGAATGGATAAAAAATGTGGCATATATACACAATGGAATATTCCTCAGCAATAAATGAGAATAAAATCATAGTATTTGCAGGTAAATGGATGAGTTGGAGAAGATAATGCTAAGTGAAGTTAGCCAATCCCCCCAAAACAAATGCCGAATGTTTTCTCTGATATAACAAGTATGATTCATAGTGGGGTAGGGATGGGGAGCATGGGAGGAATAGACAAACTCTAGATAGTACAGAGGGGTGTGAGGGGAAGGGAGGAGGCAGGGGTTAGCAATGATGGTGGAATGTGATGGACATTATTATCCAAAGTACATGTATAAAGACATGAATTGGTGGGAATATACCTTATATACAACCAGAGATATGAAAAATTGTACTCAATATGTGTAATATGAATTGTAATGCATTCCACTGTCATTTATTTTTAAAAAATTGGGAACACGTGAGGAAACAAATCAGAAACAAATTGCAGAATTTCACCCCTAGAATTTTATCTAGAATGAAGATAGTTATGTTTTAAATATTTGGGAAAATAAGAATGAACTGGTAACATGAGTGGAAAATAGCCACATAGAATTGAAAAAGAACTGTCTAGAACATCTAGAAATGAAAAATGAAACTGATGAAAGTAAAAAGTATATAGCATGAATAGTCAAATAAATAAAAAATAGTAGAAGAGTTCAGTAAACAGCAGGATTGAAAAGCAGAACCTATACAGAATGTGGCACAGAGACAAGAAAATATGCAAGAAACCTGAACACCAGAATAATAAAATCTAACACTTATAATCAAATTTCCAGAATGAAGTAGTAGGAATAAGGAAGAGGCAACATATGAAGGGTCAGTGGCTTTGAATTTTCCAGAATTGATAAAAGTATAAATCTAAGTTTAGCTAGTTCAGCAAATCTGAAACAAGGTAAATGAAAGAGAAGCAACATATAGACTCTTTGTAGTGAAACTATAGAATATCAAAGATAATGAGAAAATAGGTAGTCAGAGATAGGTAACCATTAGTTAGAACATTGACAACTAGTTTTATTTACTAGCTACTGTAGCCAGTTTACTAAAACAATGGTAGGCGCCAGTGGAATTGTATGTTGAAAATATTGAGGTAAAAATAACTGACAACCTAAAATCATTCAGTAACAAAGACGAAACAAAGTTACATAATATCAGCAAAAAACCCAAAAGACAAAATATTAAAAAATTTTAAAAAACCACAAAAATCCAACAAACTATTTTTCCTCGTCAATAAAATGGGGTTTAAGAATAAATATCCTGGGCTGGGGATATAGTTGAGAGGTAGAATACTTGCCTAACATGAGCAAGGCCCTGAGTTCAATCCCCAGTATGGCAAAAAGAAAAAAAAAAGCAAACTTCCTGATGTTATTGTAAGGATTGAATAATGTTTGCTACATAAGAAGCAACAGATGATGGAGGAAATTGAAGTGGTTATTGCATTGTGGCTATTTGCCCCTCTGTTTCTTTGATTCTTTTATACGTCTCTACAGTTATTGGGTATATACTAGCATGCAGTGATCTATTTTACCATGAAAGATGCTTATATTTCTGTGAAAATTGAAAGATTATTCTTATTATTAACAGGACCTGTAAGAGTGGAGTTGTGAATCAGTCTGTGCTTCCCCTGCCTTCCTTCCTTTCTTATACTGGGAATTAAACCCAGAGTTATTTAATTGGAGAAGCCTAATGTTTGAAGAAATCATAGGCACCTTTTTGCTTTAATAATGTTAACCACTTTTAAATAATTTATTTTCCTTTGTTCTTAACCACTAGTATATCAACTAGGGTTGATTTTCTTCCTAATGGAACATTTGGGAATGTTTGGAGACATTTTGATTATAGCAACTAAACTAAATACTACTAGCATTCTGTGGATAGAAAGAAGTCAGGGATGCTACTAAATACTCTACAATGCAAGACAGAATTTTACAACAAAGAATTGTCTAGCCCCCAATGTTAGTAGAGCTGAAATGGAGAAAACATCTTGCATGTAGTAGTTCTTTATTTAAAAAAAATATTAGTGGCACATGCAAGCTAAGCTGGTTTGAAGACAGTGGATAGCTCTCTGGTTCATCCCATGCAAGTCAAACCCTGGCATCTGTAGAGTCAGAGATATAGGTAGACATTGCACCAATAAGGTTATGAGTCATTAATTTCCAGGTGTCCTGTTCTGTCACAGCACTGTTAACATGCACAAGAAAACTGTTAAATGAGCCAACTGCCAGCTTGCAGTTCAACTTCTTGTAAAACCAGAATTCTTTTTATAAGAAGCCTAAGTTTCCTCATTGGTAAAATGGTATAATTCAGGTAGACAAAGCACAAGCTTCAAGGCTAACTGGTAGGGGAGAAGTAAGACTAGTAGAGAGCAGGGACAGGTGGTCATAATGAAGTGGTCATAGTGAAAGGCTTTACTAAATGAGCAGATTTGCTGTTTCAATCTGGCTGACTTAATTTGTTCATGCTGCCATAGGGCCTATTATCTTGGTGATTTCTGCCAGAAAGATTAAAGGGAAATGTAATTGGTTAGGAGGCAGATGCAAACCCAAACAGGAAGTGTGTCTTCTGGTGTTGGTGTGCCTGACTGACATTTTGTGTCAGCATTTGTTTTGTTTTCAGATGTCTTAGTCACCTTTTTGTTGCTATGACAAAATACATAAGATGATTAACTTAAAAGGAGGAAAGATTTATTTTGGGTTATGGTTTCAAATGTTCAGTCCATGATCACCTGGCTCCATTGCATTGGGCCTCAGGAAAGGCACAATATTATAGCAGCAGGAACATATGAAAGAGAAAGCTACTCACCTCATGATGTCCAGGAAGCAGAGAGACAGAGGAAAGGGCTAGGGACAAGATACAGATTTCGAGGTCATGCCCAAAGTGACTCACTTCTGCTTCCTGAAGTTTCTACCACCTCCTGATAGTGCCACCAGCCAGGGACCAAGCCTTTAAATATGAACCTTTGGGGGACATTCCAGATCCAAACCATAACATCATGCAAAAATGATTTTTAAATGTGTATATTGATGTGTAGGTGATTCCACATGAGGAAGAAATTGTTAGACACTCAGAGGATAGGACAGGAATGGAAATAACTGACAAATTGGAGAATTGAATGAAAAATGATAAGGTTAGCTGACTGAGGAAGAAAATATAAACTTCTGGAAGTGTGGTATATAGTATGATAATTAAATGAACAGTGGAGGAAAAACTGATTGTAGAATATGTAAGTATCTGGTACTTTTAAATCTTTTAATCCTGGGATTTTTTTCGGAATATATGTTTAAACCTTTTTTCCCCCCAGTGCTGACAGTTGAACCCAGAATCTTACACATGCTTAGTCAGTTCTCTGCCACTGACTGAGCTACATACCCAGCTTTTTATTTTTAACTATTAAGTCTTCATTTTAATTCTGTTAGTAAACTGCCTCTAGGAGAATGTGTAATCCCCAGCCTTTGAAGTTAAAAGAGATATATAGAATATAAAGGAGATTCAGAAGGTATTTACCAAGATGAACACAGGAAACATAGGTTAACGATAGCTTAAAAGCATAGAATTTATAAGATTTTAGTAATGAATATGTAATTCAAAGCAAAAGCAAGAATTATCATTGTGTTTCTTTAAGACAAGTTTTGTTTAGAGATATGGAAGATGAGAAAACAATGGTTATTAAACACACTGTAGAGAACCAGTGAATCTTCTGGCAAGAGTAAATAAATAGTCAAGGGCTGGAATTATGCTTAGTGGTAGAGCACTTGCCTAGCATGTGTGAGGAACTGGGTCAGATTCTCAGCACCACATGTAAGTAAATGAATGGAAAAAGGTCCATCAACAACTGAAAAAAAAAGTCTATTAAAAAAAAAAAAGAAAGAGTAAACAGTCAAGGGAATCTAGAATGGCAAAGTTTGAATTGTGAATAAGATCCATGGTGTTAAGACTGATCTCATATCTGATAGTTACATAATACCAACCTTTTGGAATAAGAAAAGGACATGAGAAATGTAATTACAAGATGAATAAAAAGCATTCAAATATAAATTTTCAGAATTTTTCTTTATAGAATGCTTTTCTTTGGGGCTGACAAATGCCTATATTTTCAAAACAATAAAATACTACTTCCTCAGTGTAATCCTTTAAATTTTCCAAGTATAATTTATTCTATGATTCTACAATGTCTCCTACTTACCTTTTTAATAAATCTTATCACATAATATTAAAAAGAACAAACATTTTTATTTTTTAATAAGTAATAAATTCTTATGATTCAAAAAGTTCCTTGTTATAACTGTCTCCCATCAGACCTTTTCCATCCCATGCACACATGAAAGTAACCATGTTATTATAGTTTTATTGTAAATCTTTCAAATTATCTTTATGTATAAATAATCTGAATATATTTTCCCTGTTAAGATGATTATCAATAGATATTTATTAAAAGAATGAGTGTGCTGGTAAAACAGTCTTTCTTTACCCTAGGAGCTCCACTCAGTAATGGTGAACCAGGTTTGGGTCACAGTTAAAAATGCTCATCTAGTCCCCTTACTAATGAAGAGTAGATTGCTGACAGATGACAAGTCAGGCCTTCTTAATGACTCTGACCTCTTCAGGAGTAGAGGCTCTTTTCAGAGTAATTAACCAACATTATGAGAAGATATAAATTTGATTATTCATGGGGCCAACCAAATGATAGGATTAACTATCAAGAGAGAGTATCAAATTTCTATTCAAGGGAGAAAATATCTCCTGTGACTAAAATTATTGAGATATAAGTATGCTTTAGGGTAAAAAGTGGTCTATATTTCTATGATTTAGTTTTTTAAAAAACAGTTTTAAAAGTAATATTATCTGGTACTTCTTATATTGGAGTAAAAAATACTTAGGAAAACATTGACTAATCTTGCAAAATTTAGAAAGTTCTGAAGATTCAACTCATCTAAGGCAAGAAGTGATCACATGAAAGAATTTTTTTTCCTAGGAAAAAATTATCAGGACAATTTTTCAAAATCTTGTGTAACTCTTAGTTTAAAAACAAATTGTTTTTCATGATAAATAAGATCAAACTTTTTTCTGTGCTGTACACTGAAGATAGATTTATTTGCTTATGTGTTGTGAATTTACTGTTTACTATAAGATTAAGAATCACAGATGCATTAACAGTGATAGATAAAACTGAAGTAAGTGATCAGGGGGAGACATCTGTGTTCCTTGCAGATTATAAGATTAGATTTTTATCTGAGGGTTGACAAACAAAGCTCATTTTGAGGAATAATTTAAGTATATTTTAAGTCTCATGTCTTTTTGAAATATATTAAACAACAGCATGTCAAAAATAGGGCCAATTTTCAAGGGAGACAAATTCCATCTTTGATTTGTAGTTGAAAGTGGTGGATTTCATTCAGGCCCTTACCCTCTAATTTTTATCCTTAAAGGAGGGGATTTTTTTCATTATTATATGTTATTGAGATCACTTTCTGTCATAAAGTGATTTTAGTAAGATGGGGAGAATGGAAAGGAATATTATCTGGCCTCCTTAGACATGCTTATTGTGTGACGGATAAATCAAATAGAAATAATTGTGGAATTTCTGATGATTAGAAATTAGAAGACAAAAAAAATTGGAAGCTTTGACTTAAGGACATTGTTTTATTTTTCTTAAAACAAGGTAATGTCAATTTAACAAGTGATGTGACCTTAATGATAATACACTTATAGTTTTTAAGATACAGCTTTGTGAAATTGGCTGCCATCCTGAAAAAAAAAAAAGAGAAAAAACAAACCTGTTAAATTTTTAGGGGGTTTTAACACTAATAATTACATTCAAAATGCATGTGAAAGTCTTAATGTATTTTCATTATTTCAGCTACTTTAATCTTATAATAATGATTTTTAAGTGTTGATAATACTAAAAGAGAAAAACTATAAAGTGCATTTCTTTCGGTTGTTGACATGTGTGTTTTATTTTATGGAATATAGTTTCATAAATATTTTTATACTAATTTAGAATATGATATCCTAGACTAAACCTGGGTTTTATTTGCTTTCTAGAGGAATTAACTTCCTCAGCCATTTAGTATAACCCAGTGATAGAGCAATTGCCTAGAGTTTCCAAAGCCTTCCATTTGATTTCCAGCATAAAGTAGGGCAAGAAAGAAAGTGATTAACTAAGGTATTAGAAAAAAGTGACCAAAGAAGTAGAAAAAGGCCCAGTGAAATGAGAGACAAACATTGGGAGAAATTGCCTGGCTGTTTTTATAGATGAAACTCACTTAGTTTAGACAAAGGCCATCTATTTATTAGACTCATTTCTGTCCTCAGGACTTACCAAAAAAAAAAAAAAAAGACTTTTAAGAAGGAAGGGCTGTGAGGATTAAATCAAATATTCTAATGTTGTCTTTGACATGATAGTATTCTTAACTGACTTTTCCTCCCCCAAATCGCCCTACAGACTATCGTGAGGAAAAGAGAGTCTTAAATGGTAAGTCACACAGATTTATAATAAAAATATATCATACTCATATGCTTATGTCCAATTTGACAGAATATTTTGGGCCCCTTATTCCAACCATTATTCACTTTCACAGTAGTGTTTTCTGTGACTTCCCTGAACACATATTCATTTGCCCAAAGCTTGAATACTTGTGGTGATTAAAATGGTGCTGAATGATACAATGCCCTCAGGCATTTGAACTCACCTTCATTGTTTATACACAGATGTTGAATAGCGTATTAATCTACCAGTCTGTGCTAGCTTCTTCAGCCATTTAGTATGACTCTTAATTTTGACTGACATTGCCCCTATCCTCCCCAAAATTTGCTGTGTTGGTGAATACCGATTCATGAAATGCATGGGGTTACTCTGATTGAATTATGTAATTGTACGTTTGGAGAGACATATTTTTCTCTCTGTTTGCCAAAGAAAGTTATAGAAATGCAGCCAATAAACCAGATTGGATGAGATACCTTTTTCTTTTTGATTAGAGAAAATAGTCTGTATTTTACATGAATTTATGCAATTTTTGATACCTGAAGCTGTTGTCTGATGGTATTATACTGTATTAAATTAAGGATTTAGTTTTCGTCTGATGATGGACTCCTTTGTGGTACTACAAAAGTAACAAACTTGGAATGGAACCACCGTTTGACCCAGTTATCCTACTCCTTGGTCTATATCCAAAGGATTTAAAATCGGCATACTATAGTAATGCATCCACATCAATGTTGATAGCAGCTCAATTTACAATAGCTAAACTGTGGAGGCAATCTAGGTGCCCTTCAATAGATGAATGGATGAAGAAACTGTGGTATATATACACAATAGAATATTACTCAGCATTAAAAGAGAATAAAATTATGGTATTTTCAGGTAAATGGGTGGAGTAGGAGAATGTCATGCTAAGCGAAGCAAGCCAGTCCTCAGAAAAACAAAAGCTGAATGTTCTCTCTGATAAGTGGATGCTGCTCCATAATGTGGGGGACATGGGAAAAATGTAGGAACTTTGATGGGGCAAAGGGGCGGGAAAGATGGGGAGGGGGAATGGGGGTTGGAAAGATAGAGGAATGAGATGGACATCATTACCCTAGGTACATGTATGACTGCGCATATGGTGCGATGCTACATCGTGTACAACCATAGAAATGTAAAGTTGTGCTGCAGTCCTGTACAATGAGTCACAATGCATTCTGCTATCATACATATCTAATTAAAATTTAAAAAAGAATGAGTGAACCCCATTGAAATATATTAAAAAATTACACTGGGCATTTTCTTTCCCACCACATGTGCCTGTTACCTTCCTTTGGATGTACTGTATTTAACTAATAGACCAGTTAGAGTTAGGCTTCAAAATGGAAAATAGTGTCTTTTCAGTTCCTTAGCCCATTTATTCACTGGGCTAATTGTTTTTTTTTTTTTGGTGTTAAGTTTTTTGAGTTCTTTATATATCCTGGAGATTAATGCTCTATCTGATATACAGGTGGTAAAAATTTCTCTGAAGGCTCTCTCTTCATGTTCTTTATTGTTTTCTTTGCTGTGAAGAAGCTTTTTAGTTTGATTCCATCCCATTTATTGATTCTTGATTTTAATTCTTGTGCTATAGGAGTCTTATTAAGGAATTTGGGGCCTAAACTAACATGATGGAGATTTGGGCCTACTTTTTCTTCTATTAGGCCCAGGGTCTCTGTTCTAGTGCCTAAGTCCTTGATTCACTTTGAGTTGAGTTTTATGCAGGGTGAGAGATAGGGGTTTAATTTAATTTTGCTACTTATGGATTTCCAGTTTTCCTACTTCCATTTGTTGAGGAGACTATCTTTTCTCTAATGTATGTTCTTGGTGCCTTTGAAGAAATACAGTCGGTCAACAAATATATGAAAAATGTTCAACATCTCCAGCAATTAGAGAAATGTAAATTAAAATTACATTAAGATTTCATCTCACTCCAGTCAGAGTGGCAATTATCAAGAATACAAGCAGCAATAAATGTTGGCGAGGATGTGGGGAAAAAGGTACACTTATACAATGCTGGTGGGACTGCAAATTGGTGTAACCATTCTGGAAAGCTATAGGAAGATTCCTTAGAAAACTTGAATGGAACAACCATTTGACCCAGTTATCCCATTCCTTGGCATATACCCAAAGGACTTAAAATCAGTATACTATACTGATACTGCTACATCAGTGTTTATGGCAGCTCAGTTCAATAGCTAAACTATGGAACCAATCTAGGTGCCCTTCAATAGATGAATGAATGAATGGATAAAGAATCTGTGGTATATATAAACAATGGTATATTACTCAGCGTTAAAGAAGAATGGAATTATGGCATTTGCTGGTAAATGGATGGAGCTAGAGAATATAATGCTAAGCAAAACAGCCAATCCCAAAGAACCAAAGGCCAAATGTTTTCTCTGATACATGGATGCTAATTCACAATGGCGGGGGTAGCTAGGGAGGTAAATAGAAGTACTTTGGATTAGAAATAGGGAGGGGAGGTCTGTAAGTAGGAAGGAGAGTAGAAAGAATCCAACATTATTAACCATTATGCAAAAATGGTTACACGACTGGTGTAATTCTATATCATGTATAATCAGAAGAATGAGAAATTATACTCCATTTATGTATGATGTGTCAAAATGCATTCTACTTTCATGTCTAACTAATTAGAACAAATATAAAAAAAGGAAAATAACACTCCAGAAGTGATCTGGCTAGCATCATTATCACTTGTAAGTTGTATCCTATAGTATTAGAATACTTATCTATATTTATTAGCTGCCTCACACTTTGACTCATTTAAATCTATTTAATAAGTCTGTGTGTTTTGAATATGATTTGCATGCCTTCTGTGTCATTATTTCAACAGTTACTTAAAATACTGAGTGGGATAGACTACTTTCATATTCCACAAGAGACCTAATACCTTCAAATCACTGTTAATCATTATCAACATTTTAGGGAGGGAGAATGTTTGTTCAGTCCACCTTATTTTACTTACTTATTTTCTTCCACTTCACATTTACCCCATATTCTTTCAACTTATCCAGAAAGATATTGTAGGATTCATTAGTTTGTTTTTGGTTTTCTTTTTGCAAATGTTGTAATCAAGACACATTTCTGTGGCATATGACATTACTCTGTGTAATGTCATACTTTTTATGGTACTGTATAGTTTTTTTAAAAAATTGTTCTTTTAAATATACATTTATGTATTTTAATATATATCTTAATATATATTTAGTTGTCAATGGACATTTTATTTTTTTTTATATGTGGTGCTGAGAATTGAACTCAGTGCTTCACACATGCCAGGCAAGTGCTCTACCATTAAGCCACAACCCTAGCCCTAATTTGTTCTTTTTAATATACATAACAATAGAGTATATTTTGACATATTTATACAGACATGGAGTATATCTTATTCTAACTGGGATCACAGTCTTGTGATTGTACATAATGTGAAGGTTCATTGTGGTATATTTATATATGTACATAAGAAAGTTGTGTCACATGCATTCCACTGTCTTTCCTATTCCTATCCTTCTCCTTTCCCTTCATTCCCCTTTGTCTGTTCCACTAAACTTCTGTCCACCCCTACCTGCTTGTTTTGTGTTAGGATCCACATATCAGAGAACATTCAACTTTTGGTTTTTGGGGATTGGGCTTATTTCACTGTGTAGTTTTTTAAAAGAAATCTGGAAATTGTCTCATGAGTTTTGGGGAAGAGGAAACAGTGGTTTATAAGATCACAGTCTGCTTACACTGTGCTAAAATTCAGATTTTCTCATCCTAATCAAGTCATATAAGATGAAAATTGATTTATAATTTATGAATTCTGTTGATGGCTTTTTCTCACATAAATTTATATCTTACAGCACTTCTTAAATGATTTAGTAAGATTATCTTTTGTTGCACTTGCCATTTTAGAAAAAAGAATAATGCTTGCCCTGCTTTTATTACACCTATAGTTTTGTGGTAAACAGCATCAGAGTACCTTTAAAATACCATGCTGAAGTAGACCCACAAGAATGAGTAAAGACTTAATTAGAATAAGATATTTTCCATGCTTATATAAATATATCAAAATAGATTCCATGTTATTCTGTTTTAAATATTAATAATAAAAACCAGCTTTCCAACTCCAAAAAAGAAAAACGATTTAAAAAAAAAAGAAGGAGTAAAATAGAAAAGAATTCCATGTTAGTGAGATAGTAGAGCAACTGGAACTCTCAATGTGGCAAAAATTGAAAATTTAGTACAACCACTTTGAAAAGTTGCTTAGCAGTAGCTACTAGAGTTAAACATACATAAACCTCAGATACTCACCAGAAATGTACAGCACCATGCATAATAGCCCCGATATGGAAATAATTCGAACATCCATCAATGGAATAAATTGTTATATATTCATGCAATGTAGTACTGTTCAGTAACAAAAAGAAAACAAACAAACTACTGGTGCATTCAGTAGCATGGATCAACCTTGCTTGTTTGCTCAAAGAACTATAATGTCCTTAATGTAAGACAAAAAAGGCAGGCCAAAAGAGAGTGCATTTTATGTCCTCTTTGTGTGCCTTTTAGTTGAAAAGGGCATCTTAATACACTAATAGTGTTGTCAAACACAGGCAAAAACTAATCAGTGGTGTTAGAAGTCATAATAGTGACTATCCTTTGGGGAGAGGCAGCTATTAGAAAGAGGATTGAAGAGGGTGCTGGCTATAAAGGTATGTTTTAGTGTATGAAAATTCATTTTACATCCTTTTATATATTTATGGAATATCAATAAGAAGTTAACTGAAAAAAATTAATGTTGTTAAGATGAATTGTTGCTATTTTGTTTTTCTTTGTGAAGGCCTGCTTCCCAAGAGCCAAATGACAGACATATCTACCAAAGAAGGTCCTATTTCCCCAAGGTATACATGCTTGTTTTACATTATTAAAGCTAAATCTGTTCTATGCAAAAATGCATACATCATAAAAAGAAAGTAGTTCTGGGTTTGATATATTATTTACTATTAATCATTCTTTTTTTGACTCATGAATTATAGTGCCTCATTTATCACGCATTGTTGGAGAATGAGCATTTCTCTAAATGTGAGTTCTAAATATAACTGAAGTTTGATCCATCTTAAATATCAACACTTAAAATTTTTTAAAAATATTTTTCTGATTATACAAATGTACATGCATAGTATAAAATGTGAAAATATAAAAATACAAAGAAATACAAAAGTAAGTGATGAAATCAGTTGTAACCACCCAAACTTACATACTCTTTAACACTTGACTTATTCCTTCCAGTTTGGTTTATATAATACCTATTTCATATAACTCTGTTTTTGTAATATTGGTATTATAGTATATTTTGTGAGCAATTTCTTAGGTCTTTAACTATTCTGTGAAAGTATATTTTGTTTGCTTTTCATGATATAACCATACCATAATTCAGCAATTCAGTTTTTTGGTAAATATAGTTTGTTTTTATCAATTGTTACTGGAAATCTTTCAAAATGTATTAGACACTAGTTGTCTTAAACATTTAACACCAAATTAAGCATATGCACACTTTTGTTGATGACATTTCAAATGCCTACAGGATCCGGTGTGTTCTCTGAAGTTCTTTTTCTTCCTGCCTTTCTCCCCACAGCTTTCTATATTATTCTTACAGAGACATTCTGCTATTCTTTTAAGTTATTTTATGACAGTTTTAAGTTAAGGGACTGAGGGTGCCTGCTCTAGATTCATGTATTGTTGCCTGTGTGTAGGTAATAAGTGCAGAAACCGTATTGATTTCATCAATAGCTGCAGCAAAACAGAAGACTTAATTTTATCTGAAGTTTTATTATAGACCTATTAAACAACCTGGATGAGTTAATTTCTATAGTAGCAATGTACTTATGACAAGGAGTGAAAGTAACAGCATGTAGATTTCTTCATGCTTGTTAAAAAGCATGTATTATTCTGTTATTACTCTGATAAAAGATTTTAGCAGGAAGATGTGTAACCTTTTCATAACTGGCTTATCTTGGTTATTTTGTTTTTATTCAAATACATGGAAGTTTAGATACTTTAAATTTAGAAATAATTGTCAGCTATCTAATGAATACTGTAACATGTTAATACCACTGTTAATTTTAGAAAAATATTAACTTAACGAATTATATTTCTCATTATAAATTTTAAACATTTAATGATTTAATGTTAATGTACATCATTATTAATATGAATATTCATTATTTTCTTAATGTTTTACAGCTATGACTGGTTCCAAACAGACTCTCTAGTCACCATTGTCATATATACTAAACAAAAGGTAAACATGTTTTTAAAAATCAGGGGAAAAGGGGCTGGATTTTGGTTCAGTGGCAGAGTATTTGCCTAGCACATGTGAGACACTGGGTTAGATCCTTAGCACCATGTAAAAATAAATAAATAAAGTTATTGTGTCCAATAAAATATTGGAAAAAATATTTTTAAAAAATCAGGGAAAAAATAAATACTTATGATAGTCGTGTGCCAGGTCCTTTTCTAAGCACTTTTCTTATATTATTTACTTCCCACAACTCTGTGAGGTAGATACTGCTATTATTCCTATTTTACAAACAAAGAAGAAAAAGATAATAATTTACCCAAAGCTACACAGTAGATGGCAGATCTAGAGTTTGGAACCCAGGCAGTGTGGCTCCTGCCTGGCATGTATGTTCTTACTAGCTATGCTATAGCCTCTTAAAAATCTAGACTTGGAAGTATTTTATATGCTTTTCTGTGATTTTTTTTAACGCATAGATGACAAATGTGAATATTAGTTAAATTCACTAACAAGAATGAATTTCCTAAACATACATTGGTATTAGTAAGATTTAGTGCTGTGGTTTTAGTTTAAACCACTAATTTTATTGAGATGCCCATTTGAACTAAAGTTAGGGAGATAATTGACTCACCAAGTCTTTGTTTAACACTTCTTTTGTATGAGGCATTGCCTTAGATGTCAGGGATCTAATAATAGGCCAGATGCATAGAGACCTAGCTTTTACAGGGCTTACAATCCAGTTGGAAAATTGGATAAAAAAACAAACAACTTAGAATTTCTAAACATATCCTCTGACAACATCGAGGTTCCCAAATTTCACATTTATCTTTAAAACATGAGTTTTGACATATAGGAATTTTAGAGAATTCACTCTACTTCTGTGATAGCAGAATCACATCTGAACCAGCGGATCTTCTGACTCCTGCAGTATGGTTTAACCATTCTGCAGGAGTAACCAGCCTGGGCTTGATAGAGCCAGGAGGGCCAGAAACACAGCTTGCCCTGCCTCCTTCTACTTCTTGCTGTAGCCTCCTATCATAGTCTAAAACCAGGAGAACAGTGTCCACTCCTTCTATTAATAGCAATGGGACATAGAGGGTGGAAGGTTAAGGGAAAGGGGAAGGTTTCTTCATGCAATAATGAGATCACTGTGACAGGTACCAAAATACTTTGAATCAAGGCTGTGTAAAAATTAGAAACCTCTAAGAATTTGCTAATGAACTCATTTTTTTTTTTGGATGAGCTGAGGTTGGGAGATTATGTATTTTGCCCAGCATCATAAAATAGTGGAAAAATTAAAATGAACACATATCTTGTTTTCTGATCTGATTCTAATCTTTTGTCACATTGTTTGTTTATCAAATACTTATTGAATATCTACTAGATATCTCACAGTACTCTAAAGATAGTCTCTTAATTTTATAGTTTAGAGACTTCTGATTAAGATACATATTAAACAGAGAAAAATATATAATTTAAATTGTGATAATGTACTTTGAAAGAAAAGAATTGGGTTGTATAAGATAAAAAAACCTAGGAGTAGCAGTTAGTGTGGGGATCTGTAAAGTAGCACCAGGAGAGCTTTCATTGATAACATTAAAAATAGAATTGTAGAAGTTTGGCAGGAAAGTAACTATTTAATCTTTCTATTTATGCTTTCTGTTAAAGGATATCCATTTAGACTCAATAATAATTGATCATCAGAATGATTCCTTTAGAGCAGAAACAATTATCAAGGATTATTCATATCTTATACATATTGGTGAGTACCATATTTTTATCAATGAAAACAGCTCCTTCCATTATGGCAATGACTTGGACTATCATCTAGGTAACTAATATTTTATCTGCTTTTGTTACTTTGGTTTGTCATTTTTGATAGATTTGATTCCCCTCCCCCTTTTTTTTAGTACCAGAGATTAAACCCAAGGGTGCCCAATCACTGAGCCACATCCCCAGACTTTTTAAATTTTTAAATTTTGAGACAAGGTCTCACTTTGTTGCTCAGGGCCTCACTAAGTTACTGAGGTTGCTTTAAACTTGAGATCCTTCTGCCTCAGCCTCTGAAAGTGCTGGGATTACAGGCATGAGCCACTGCTTCTGGCCTATTATTTCTTTATGCTAATAAAAGTGCTAACAAATAGCAGTATGATCTCACCTTTCCAAGTTTAAATAATTAGATGTGACCAGAATCAATATTTGTTGGCTTAGCTTTGATGAATCTCCTGTTCTTGGCACCTACAAGTAAGTTTCTAGAATCCTGCTTGTCACATGCTCCTACTGAACATTTGTCACTAGGTGGCACATTCCTTGCCAACTGTGCCATGAGAAGTCAGAGGCTGCAACATAATGGCCCAGACTATAAGTTTGCATTACATCCTTCAGCTGCCTGTATCTTCATGGTCAAAGACCAACCATACAATTCTAATTGACATTTATGGGAGAGTTTTAATCACAGTACAAAAGTTTATATTAGTTGTTATCACTGTCATGATTTCTCCTTAAGTAAAACTCCTGTGTTAGCATCTGTTATTTTTCAAACACTTTGTAATTAATTTTATTCACACTGTAGCTAACAGTACATCTAGCTGTTTCATCCCTGGAGAGGCCCCAAAAGCACTGGCAGGGAGTTCCAGCAAAGGAGTGAAGGGAGTTGTGCCCCCCACCCTCTGGCCCCACCAAACTGTCTCAAGATGGTGCTGATTGGAGTTCCAAAGAAGCAATCACTAATTGCTATCCAAGCAATGTTTGGAGGTCCATCTAAACATTTATTAGGGGAGCTTATGTACAGAGAGGGGCTGTAGCATATAATTGAGGCTAACAGAAAGAAAGGGATGTTTTGTCTAGGTATCTTTAGTGAGGGGATTGAGTTATGGAGTTTATAAAAGCTCTTGAGGAATTTGGCTCAGGGCTGGGGCTATCTTTCAATGTTTTGGACAATAGACTTTTTCAGTGCCTGGGAATATTAATGGCCCCTTCATAGGTTCTAGCCTCCAGAGTAAAACATGTAGCTGGCTGGGTCCCACAACAGTCAAGGCACTTTGTATTTCTAAGTCAGGAAGTTAAGGTAGGGGAAACTGAAGGCTCTTACACTAGCACATACATTAAAAAAAATTTTTTTTTTTCATTAAAAATTGTGCAATTCTTGGTGGGAGCACTGGCACTCATATACAATCCTAGTGACTCAGGACACTGAGGCAGGAGAATTACAAGTTTGAGGCCAACCTGAGCAAGTTAGTGAAACTGTCTCAGGACTGCAATATAGCTCAGTGATTTGAAGGATTTGAAGTAGTAACATAAAATGATTTTATATAGTGTTCATAAACTGTATGAATTGACTTTGGATTTTATCTAATATACTTTTATTATCCCAGGGCTAAGCCATGAGGTTCAGGAAGATTTTTCTGGTAAGTTACCAAAAAAATATGTATGTAAGAGAGAGAAGAAAAAAAGAACTCTGCATTTGTCTTAGTTTGCTTGTATATATTTTCATTTTACAAAATAAAGGTGTGATGTTTTCTATATAAACACATATGCCAGTTTTAAAATGTACTCCTGGTTTCTCCACAACCCTGTTTCCATTGTCCTTATTCATTTCAACTCTTTTTTTTCTCCTTAATTAAAAAAAAAATTCCTGTCTCCTTTCTATTCTTCATCTCTGCTGTACTACTGATATGCCACTCATAAAAACATTACTAGGCCAGACAAATTTTTCTTAGATGTATATAGTTAAATGGAAAATGTTGACAAAACATACTAAATTACTAATATTGTTGCATTTAAATGTGCAGTGTGGATTACACAGCTTTTTAACAGAAGAATAGTAGTTTCTGGTTTCCAGGTACACATAGTACGTTATACTGGTTCAGTGTCTCCCTTTTCCATATAACATAGTAAACTCTATAAAGATCTTATTCTTATTTTGGTTAAGCTTCATTTAATTGAATCCATTTTTCTAATCTGCTTTAGGAAGTTGTTAAATTGTTGCTGGATTCCAAGTTTACAATTAGCAGAGGCATTGCTTTTAAAGAAACATTAAATATGTTTAATGTCTTTAAAAGCATGTTCATCTCATCAAGTTTAAATCAATGTATATAGAAGTCTATTTTTATTATTATTATACCTATATTCTAAACTGTTAAAATCATTCAAAAAGAAAAAAATATAATCTAAAAGGTTCTTAATTATCAAGGATTCACATGTATTTTATTAAATTCATCCCATATTTACTGGGAAGATACTCTCCTAAAGCTATTTTTGTTTTTAGGCTTAACCTTCTACTGAATTTACTCACAAGAATTCCTCAGGTTCCAACTAAGAAATGTTAAAAGGAATAAATTAAATTCATTTTTGTTGATCCATTCAATAGTTACATAAATGTGTTATCCCTATTAAAAAAAAATCTAAATTTAAACTGTGTATTGATTAGCTGCCATGACTTTTAAGCTTGTATGAAAACTGTCAATACCTACATTATTAAAAGGCAATCTGAATTTTTAAAATAAAGTAAGCTGAATGTAACATATAATGGATTGTTTATAATTGTTTATAAATGAGCAAAATTTTATTTTTTTTCACCACTGATCAGTGGTGTCCTTATATAAGATCAGAACATTTTGACTATTTGAGAAAGATTGGTTTTAATTAAAATCTTTTTAGTATCAATAATCAAGTGGAATTTATGTTCTTTTCAGTTCGAGTGGTTGAGAATGTGGGAAAAATAGAAATTGTCTTAAAAAAGACAGAGAATATATCTTGGAAATGTCTTGGCCGTCCACTGGAGAAGCATAATTCACTTATTCCAAAGAAAGATACAGGTATGCTGTGCAATTATTTTATTAACGTTACATTCATGAAATTGTTGTTAGTTGCAGAATTGTATCAAGAGTTTGGAAGGCTGCTTTGGGATGAGCTAAAGAAGTCCTTCTATCTCTAGGAAGTGTGAAAGAGACATTTTATCTGTTAAAACCTTTTTTTTTTAATTTTCAGAAAGGTCAAATTTCATACTCTACTACATAATGTTTAGTTAGGTCCAACAAAATCATTAGGTGATGATGGTATGTTGAATGAAGATGTTCATTTTTTATTTAGACTTTCAAGCATTCGTTTCTTCAGGGTTTTGTTAAAAATAAAAGATGCCAACTATATATACAGTTTTTTTTAATTGTATTGGAGATTGAACCCAGAGACATTTTACCACTGAGTTACATCCCCAGCCCATTTGATTTTTTTATTTTGAGACGAGGTCTTGCTGAGTTGTGTAGGGCCTTGTTTAGTTGCAGAGGCTAATCTTGAACTTGCAATCCTCCTATCTCCTGCATCATGGGATTATAGAGAGTGCATTGCCACACCTGGCTATATTTTTCTGCTCAAGCAAAAGTCAGTTTTCAGTTTACTCTGAAAGAGTGATGCCATTCATTTCCTTTCTTTTTAAAAGCTTTTTATCTCAGTTTAATATAAAAATATGAGTGCATAATAATTTAATAATATATTGATAGAATAATATTAAATGATAATTTAATAATAATACACATGTGTGCATATATTTTTTTCTTTTGAAATTGGTAGTGTTTGCTGCTTGTTCCAAGTGTTTTGGAATTTCACAATAATATGCCATAATGTGGATCTATTTTTAACCTTTGTGCTGGGTGTTCATCCTTTGTGCCAATCTTTTCATTAAGGAAAGAGTATGATCTTTAGTTCTAGAATATATCATTAATCTTTTTTCTTCCCTTTTTCTGATTTGCTTTCTAGATATGTTCTTGTATTGAACCTCCTTAACCAGTCTTCTAATTATTTTTTTCTCTCTTAATTTCAATTTTGTCCTTTTATTCTACTTTTTGGGGAGATTTCTTCACCTTTAAATGGTATTCTAGCTTTTTAAGTTACTCTGTTTTAACTTCTAAGAACTCTATTTCTTTTTTAGATAACTGACACTTTTAATACCACTCTATTAGAAATAATTATATCTGCCATTAATCAACTAGGATATAATTAACACTTATAGACTTTTATAACAAGAGAAGAATATGCATGCTTCTTTTTTTAAAAAAATTAATTTATTCTAATTAGGTATATATGACAATAGAATGCATTTTGATTCATTGTATACAATTGCAGCACAACTTTTAATTTCTCTGGGTGTACACAGTGCAGCAATTGTACCATATGTGCAGTCATACATGTACCTAAAGTAATGATGTCTATCTCATTCCACCATCTTTCCTGCCCCCATACCCCCTCCCCTCCCCTCTTTGTATTTCTGTTGCTTTGTTTTAGCATCCTATTCTTATTACCTTCTCTTAATCTTTTTAAGAATTAGTATTTTAGAGGTTTTATCCCTCCTCCCCCCGTGCAACCTCTGTATTCTGCAATTTTATTTGCCGTTTTGTGTCTTTTTTGGTCCCTTTATATTAAATGCTATCTTTGAATGTTTACTAATCCTTAACTATCACTAATATTTCATGTTTTAGTTTGGGAAACTGTGTAGTAAATATGGCTTGTTGGCAGTAATATTTACTATACAGTTGGATCTTTTCTTTGGAAAAAGTTGATGCCAGCATTTTGTCTGTCTCTAGAGTAAATAGTCTCCACTCTTGCATCCAGCCTTGGGTAAAGAAAGTTGATATCTGTAAAAATCACTTAATTTCTTTTCTTCTCTCTCCCTCCCTCCCTCCCTCCCTCCCTTCTTTACTTCTTTCCCTTTTTTTCTTAGAAGATTATATTTATTTGCTAAGGGTACCATAACAATCTACAAAAAACTGAGTGTCCTATCAACAGAAATTTATTTTCTCACAGTTCTGCAAGCTGAAAGTTCAACATCAACGTGTTGCAGGATTGGCCTCTTCAGAGGCCTCTCTCTTTGGCTTTTGTAGATGAACAACGACATAGTTGTTCTTGCCAATTTCTAAGTCTTAAAGGAATTTTGTATTACAATGGGTTAGTTTTTGGCTTTTTATACTTCTCATTTAGGATTCAGCTTTTTTGGGTCCGCTGAGTTAATTACCAGTCATCTCTTTGCCTTGTCAGCTCCTGAATTTGTTATATTTTCTTCTTTTATTTGTATTCTCTTATGCCTTAAAAAACAACCAAACCACATGTACACAACCTTTTTGTTGTTATTGGAGGGGTTCAGAAGGAACTAACTGCATGTACTCAGTTTACCGTCTTTAAAATACTTAAAATTATTATAAATATTTTGAATTATTATATAAGCTAGAGTTAACCTAATTGTTTTTCCTACTCTCACCACTCAACACAGAACATTTCTATCACTACAATGTGTAAGGGTTTCTCTCCACCAACAGCCAATTCTCTGCTGACATTAACTGGTTATCTTATAATATAACTCAATTTTGATACTAACTGGAGTTAAGGCATACCCATCATGTTAAGGTCTTAGTCCCACCCTTACTGTGATCTCAGTTACAAGCCTGTGCTTTTGACTAACTGCCTATAATCAGGGTTCTATTACCCCTTCCTTGGGTTCAAAAAATTGCTAGATACCTTATAGAACTGAAGGAAATACTTATTTATGTTTATCTTTTTATCAAAAAGGATATTGCAGCACCAAAATAGACACGTAGGCCAGTGGTACAGAATAGAAGACACAGAGACAAACCCACATAAATACAGTTATCTTATACTAGACAGAGGCACCAAAAACACATATTGGAGAAAAGATAGTGTCTTCGGCAAATGGTTCTGGGAACACAGGAAATTTGTATGCAGCAAAATGAAACTAAACCCCTATCTCTCACCATGAACAAAAATCACCTCAAAGTGGATCAAGGACCCTACACCTAACAGAAGAAAAACTAGGCCAAAATCTTCATCATGTCAGATTAGGCCCTGACTTCCTTAACAAGACTACTAAAGTACAAGAAATAAAATTATGAATCAACAAATGGGATACATTCAAACTAAAAAGCTGCTTCTCAGCAAAAGAAACAATCAAGTGAACAGAGAGCCCACATTTTGGGAGAAAAATTTTGCTATACACACATCAGATAGAGCACTAATATCCAGAATATATAAAGAACTCAAAAAACTTAATACCAAAAAACAAACAATCCAATCAATAAATGGGCTAAGGAGCTGAACAGACACTTTTTAGAAGAAGATATAAAATCAGTCAACAAATATATGAAAAAATGTTCAACATCTCTAGTGATTTAGAGAAATGCAAATTAAAACTACCCCAAGATTTCATTTTACGGCAGTCAGAATGGCAGTTATCAAGAATACAAACAACAGTAAATGTTGGCCAGGATGTGGGGGAAAAGGCATACTCGTACATTGCTGGTGGAACTGAAAATTGGTGTAGCCAATCTGGAAAGCAGTATGGAGATTCCTTAGAAAACTTGGAATGGAGCCACCATTTGACCCAGCTATCCCACTCCTTGGTCTATACTCAAAGGACTTAAAAACAGCATACTGTAGTGACACAGCCATCAGTGTTCAAAGCAGCATAATTCACAATAGCCAAACTGTGGAACCAACCTAGATACCCTTCAATAGATGAATGGAAAAAAATTGTGGTATGTATACACAATAGAATATTATTCAACAATAAAAGAGAATAAAGTTATGGCATTTGCAGGTAAATGGATGGAGTTAGAGAATATCATGCTAAGCGAAGTAAGCCAATCCCAAGAAACCAAAGGCTGAATGTTTTGTCTGATAAGTGGATACTAATCTATAAAGGGGGTGGGGCATGGGATGAGTGGAAGAACTTTGGATGGGGCAAAGGGAAGTGGGGATGGGACATGGGGGTAGGAAAGATGGTGGAATGAGATGGACATCATTACCCTAGGTGCATGTATGATTGTACAAATGGTGTAACCCTACTTTGGGTACAACCAAAGAAGTCAAAAATTGTGCTCCATTTGTGTACAATGAATGGAAGAGCATTCTGCTGTCATATATAACTTAGTAGAACAAATAAATTAATTAAAAAATAAAAAAGGATATTGCAAAGAATATAGATAATTTATCTATAATTTGTTAAATGAAAGAGAGGCAGATGAGCAAAGTTTGTGAGAATGGGAGTGGACTTTCCATTCCCTCTAAGAATGCACCACCGTATTTTCAGCCATCTAGAAACTCCCCAAACTACCTTTTTGTGTTTCTTTGGAGGATTCATTCCACAGGCATGATTAATTCCATCATTGGCATTATTGATCAATTCAACCTTCAGCCTTTCTGTAGATTGGGAGGCTAGAGCTGGAAGTTCCAATTTTCTAATCACATGGTTGGTTTCCCTGGCAACTAGCCCTCATCCTAAGGCTATCCAGGAATCTACTAAGAGTCATTTCCTTAAAACAAAAGATACTCTTATCACCCAGGAAATTCCAGGAACTTAGAACATCCATTTCAGGCATACCCATAAGTCAGGAAATTGCAAAGATTTTAGTAATTCTGTCAGGAAGTGGGATCAGTATGGGAAATTATTTTTTCCTGTAGAATAGAAAACATACAAACCTGAGATTGAATAATACTTTTATAAAGAAACAAGCCAACAGGACAAGTTATATAATACAGACTGAACATAATTTGAACTAGCCTCAAGCAAGTTTGATATTGAATGACTACCTAAAGGAGGTAAATTTCAAGTGTTTTAAAAGTGAGTTCCATGGCTTTGAAGAAAATGAAAAATTATGAAGGACTTTTCAGGTCTGGCAACATATCATTACTGGACACATTGTGCCAGGTATTGTGCAGATTGTAGAGAAAAATGTAAGTAAGGGGATGAAAAATTTAAATAGATTAATTTTACTAGGACAGGACGTCTGAATTTTGTAGAATTAGAGTGGAA